TGCTGGCTCAGGAATTCTGGGAGTTGAAGTCCACGAGTCATAAAAGAGCCAAGCTTGCCTACCCCTGCCCTTAAGGCATAATTCTTCTAAACAAGGTTTGTGGAATGAACCATAGCTGGCTGAATTCATGCAATTTTTTAAATGACATTTCCCTGGCTAGATACAGGCACAGAATCACCATGACGTAAACCACATCATGGCCTAATGTAGTTTGTAGATCTAGGCAATTTATTGACAAGCTGACATACGATCCAAAATGGAAAATACTGTAGTAACTTTCTTTGGCAATTCACATACAGAAACGGCACTAATAAATCACAAGATAATCACAAGGTTAGAACCCTACGATGAGCCTAGTTTCCCAATATCCAACTTTCTAAAACAGAAAGACAAGCCACCATGCTAGCTAACAGATGGTTCCAGGGCATGTGAATTATCCCAGGCACATGTACTTTCCAAAATGCTCTTCTGCGCAGAAAGTCACTTTAATCATAACTGCTAAAGCTGATGACACAATCACTATTTTGAGAGAGAGACGAAAATTCTAATGTGAGTCCTAAAATAAGCAAATCACAATTAAAACCAAAGGACCCATTTCAAGTCCATTTTTGTTCATGAGAGACGGGCCCACCAAATCTGTGACTCCCAATTTCCCCACTCTGCAAAACTGCCAATGTTTTATACAGCTCTGTCACAAATCATGATTTGTAAACCAAAATGCTTATTGGGTTCACGCAACAAAGGTGAAACCAAACACACCATCTATGGTTTAGCACGGGAGGGGGGGGCTTCAAACTTGGCAACTTTAAGACTGTGGACTTTCACCCCTGACCTAACACAATATACAAGTTCAATTGTCGGGCCACTGCAAGAACCATACGTAGCAAAAGTAGGAGACATGATGGGGATAGGGCCATGTTACTCCTTGGAAATTTGTCACCATTTCCTTCTGCAATGAGAAACGTTTTAGTTAGCCATGTTGCATGGAAAAATTAAATAAGAGCATCACTCAGTGGCATTTGACCATCCGTGCTATACTTAACGAAACGGGAAAAAATATCACATTATCCCTTGAGGTTAGAGATCAATCTCCACTGCAGTGTCAATCGCCTGAAGGTCACCAGTGAAGCAATTAGCCATCACAAGATTAGCCAGCGGTAACTAGAATGGTTTCTATGAGATGTTTACTATCATCAACAATTAGGGCGTATGGAACCAAGATGAGGGTGTTTATACAACACGATTTCTGCATCCAGCCTGCTTGCACGGAACAAGACTTGGATCTGCTAGCAGCCAGCTAAGTCTTCAATAAGTCATTAAGACCTATAATAGACAAACTCCTTTTCTCTTCCTTATGGCCTTCCATGGCAGCACTCAATGACATTCCTATCTATGTTATTCACACCTCAGGATTCTCCAGTTGGGATACCTGCCACAAGCAGATTAGCTTCTGGCTTGTTGCAAGCAAAGCATCCATTTCATTGAAGAAAGTACTAACTAGGCAACTTGGAAGCACTAAGAGTTGCCTAACACAAGTTGCATCAGAAAAAGCTTGCAACAGTAGATACAATGAACTACTGGCAATCCTCGACTTACCCCAGCTCGTTTACTGACTATTTGAAGTCACAATAGCGCTGAAAAAAGTGGCTTATGATCATTTTTCATACTTACGATGGTTACAGCATCCCCATGGTCACATGATCAAAATTTGGACGCTGGGCAACTGACTCACATTTATGACAGCTGCAGTATCCCGGGGTCATACGATCCCCTTTTCCAACCTTCTAACAAGCAAATTCCTTGGATTCTCTTAACAACCATGTTACTAACTTAACTGCAGTGATTCTCTTAACAGTCAAAAAGCTTGTAAAAAGGGTGAAAATTCACTTGACAATTAACATAACGGAAATGTTTGGCTCAATTGTGGTTATAAGTCGAGGACTAGCTGTACTCCACTGTGCTTTATATCAGAGGTCCCTAACCTTTTAGGCACCAGAGACCGGTCCATGGAGAATGGTTTTTCCATGGACCGGAGGGGGTGTGTGGTTTTGTGTGCTGCCTGCATCCCACAGATGGGGCTTCGCTTGTTTGTGCGGACCGGTTGCTGGCATGCCGTGGCCTGGTACTGGTCCACGGATCGGGGGTTGGGGACCCCTGCTTTATATCAAATGCATACAACTATCTCCGTGGATAGAGTCCACCTTCCAGTAAAAAAATCAAAAGGTATTTAGAACTTAGCTATTTCTGCATTGGGGATTTTCTGAGGGTGGAGGGGCAGCACCAGAGCCAAGTAGTAGACAGATGTTCTAGTCTTTAGAAGTGGTATCAGTATGAGTAGCCTGTTGCCTTGGGGCAGGGCCAATGGTTTCAGTTCAAGGATGCAAGCTGCTACCATCAACTCATTAAAGTCGATCCATAAACTGCAAAGGTCAACCTGATGTTTTACTGCTTTGCAAAGTATTTCTGTCAGGTATATTAAGTTGCATGAAAAAGGCAGCAAAAGGGCTTAAAGAAGTTGCATGGCATAAATAGCTTAAAGCTTGCCTTTTTTTTTTCACCCTTGCTCATTCCTTTTTCAACCACTACAAGAAAATCAATTATGCTGGTTTGAACAGCTATGGCCAACACAAAAGACAGCCTGGCTTCAATGAGGGCAGCTCTCATTTCCATTCAGTCACAATGAACACAGGGATGCCTCAGGCTAGCCCCTCTCACAACTAATTTATCCTCACAACACCCCTAACAGAGGAAAGAAAAATAAAAAATGATATTCAAGGATGATTCTCGTGCACATTAAGCTTTTCAGGGAAAGAGATTCTCCCGAGACGCTATCAATTGAATTTTATTTAAAATATAACCAAAAAAAGAAAATGACAAGGCACAATTTGTACAGTACCTTCAGAATGAAAAAGCCACAAGTTCTACAATTATATCTCAGGGACAAGTATACTTCAAAATTACATAATCATTTTTTAGAAACTTGGCTGTTTATTCTAAGACTGCCATGTTTGTAAATATAAGTGCATTCATTTTAAGGAAACGGTTTAAATTTTGTATTAATACTGACAAACTGGCATAATGTGGTTTGAGCTTAGCATGGTACTGTATATCAACACAGCCAATTCTGATTTAATAAAGCCAAGGTTAAACTGGCTTAACAGGGTAGGTGAAGCCAGCTGCCAAGTTTGTTTTTTTAACCTGAAGCAATAATTTAAAATAGTATCCACCAATCAGTGTTATAACACGGCAGGCAATTGTAACGTTATTCTAACACATCTGGATGTTGACAAGACTGGAAAGGCTTATTTTAATCAGGCTTCAAGGAAATTTACAAGTTGTGTACCAACATCTGCACCATTCCTATCACCCTAAAAAGATACAGGTCAAAGATGTGTCTCCGGGTCCTAATTCTGGATGAGCCCCCGTTCTGTACAGTGAAGTGAGCCTAAACATAGAATCAAGTCAGGCTGCAGCAGCAGGGCCATTAGTTTCATTAAATCAGCCACTTCGGACTCTTTTCATCAAGCAGCCATAAAATCAAGACTGAATTTCACAGTATTGTTCCAAGATCTGCAAGCTTCAGGTACAGACCATTCTTGTGGAGCCTGGCCTACTTCCGGCTGTGTCAGTTCTGAGAAGCCAGCCTTCACAACGAAGGAAGGAGATACCGAAAGGAAAATTCTGTTCTTTACAGCTCCTCCTTAATTTGGAAACCAGTTTCTCAAGCCTCACTGAACTTTCAAAGATCACAGAAAGGCAGGTGACCTGGACGGACAGTAATGCTCCAGAGGGTCAGAGTGCATTGCAAGCTTAGCTGAATTCACGCATATGGGGAAGCAGCAGAGGCCTCTAAAGGTCCCTCTTTCTCTCCCCTCCCCACAGTCATATGGCCAGTCAGGGTTCCTCGTCAGCTGGTATTATGACATCACCCCCATTTGCCTTTCCCAAGCAACCTGCCTATCTCTGTTTCTTCCCGATAAGAGCAAAGGACCCTCCCCAAAGCAGCCCCCCCCCAGACCAAAACCAGAAGGCAGGACGGTTGGCATAAGAGAAGCAGCAGGCAGGCCTTGTCTGGCTCTAGCCAGACGGGGGTTCCACCCTTTACCTGGGTAGGAACATCCCTGCAGCCACTTGAGCCAGAAGAGGCCAGCTGGCCGCTTTTAAATGATTGGGGGGGAAGGGGGAGCAGGCTGGCACAAAAGATAGACCCCCCCCTTCCTCTTTTTACCCTGGAGAAAAGCAGGCAGATGTAACACAGATGCTGCTGGCCGGGTGGCAATGAAGGGAAAAAGCTTAAAAAAGATCAACATTAAGGGCACCCACACGCATCGCCCTCCAAGCCCAGGGCACCCAATTCCCCATGGGATCTGCGGGGAGGGGTGGGGGGGCTTCCAAAGCCAGGGAAGGGTGTGTGTGGGGGGAATGAATCTACTGGATCCTTCCAGCAGGGTGGGGCTTCCAGGCAGCAGCCAGAGGAGACGACATCGCCAGCCTTGCCCTTCCCAATGCGCCAACCTCACCACCACCAGGACGGGGGTGGCATTCCCGACCACGGCGTAACCCCGACTCTTTATTGGGGGGGGGAAGAGAGAGAGAGGGGGGGGAGACGGGCGTCTCATAAAAAAACAGAGATCAAAGCAGTCTTTCCCAGCGGGGCAGCGGACTCCAGCTCCCATCTTCCCCAGCCTGGCAGGCTGCCACCCGCCCTCGAAGGGCGAGGGAAAAAACAGAAGCCCAGCCATCCTCTCTGCGCTTTCCCAAAAGTGATACCCTCCCCACGGGGTATCCCGTCCACACGACCCCCTCGCCCTCCTTTGGAGACCCCCCCCAATTCAATGAGCTGGTGGGTGTAAGGGGAGGCCTGGGCTGGAGGAGGGGGGAGAGAGAGGGAGGGGGAGGGAAGGAGAGAGGGCGGGGCGGGGGGCGCCGTCCCCATGGCAACAGACCCCCCCCAAGAGGTTTCCTCCCTTCCCCCCCCCGCGGTGCTCCCGGGGCCTCACCGCTGAAGATCATGGCGGCCGAGGCGCCCATGACGGCGAAGAAGGAGGAGTACTCGGGACCGGCCGGAGCAGTACTCATGGCGGAACCGGGTGAGGGGCGAGGAAGAGGAGGGAGACGGCGGCGGCGGCGGCGGCTGCTGCTGCGGAGGTCGGGCAGCTGAGGGAGGTGGGGGGCCGGGGGCGGCTTCGCCTTCTACTTCGGCTTCTCCTCCGCCCTCGCTGCGCCGCCCGGGAACGAGGCAAGATGGCGGGGCGGCGGCGGGGGTGGTGTCGACACGACGGTGGTCCTGCGCGGACGATCCTCCGCTGCGCCCGCCGCTGGCTCTAAATACCCAGCCGCCGCAGAACAAAATGGCGGGGGAGCCCTGCGTCACGTGGCTCGCCCCTGGTTCCGCCCCCTGCTCCTCCTCCTGCTTTTCCTTCTCTTCCGCTTCTCGGCTGCTTTTTTTTTTTTTTTTTTGGAAACACGGGATATACCAAGTGAGGCGAGGGGGGGGAACACGTCGATGGGAAACGGGGACGGCCTCTCTTGCAAGCGCGGGCGGTGATTTTTTTTTTCCCCCTACACTGTATCATATAAGGGAAGGAATAAATGTCATTGCGCTGTCGTCTGAGCGCTGAAGCGTTCTCGGCTCCCCTTTCGCTACATGGGTGGTTTCGCCCCGTCAAGGCTGGTCGGGATCGAGCCTGAGCGCGTTAGGGGATGTTTTTTTTTTCAGATGATTCAGCGCTGATTAGCATTAGGGGCGGGGCTAGTGAGAGAAGGCCGCTCCTCTTTTCCTGATCCTCTTTTGGGGGGGGGGGGCGGTTGAAAGGTGCCTGGATAATCCGGATGTATCAATCGGGATTTAATCGGCATTTATATCATTTATTTCTCTTGGAGCAACTACAGGAAGGAGATTCTGCAAAAAAAAAAACACCTTCCTGGAATCCTGTTACCTTCCAGATTGTATTTGGGCTGCAGTTGCCATAACTTCCTAGCCTGCGCATCTGGGTTAGGAAAAGACTGATTTAAAAAGTTAAAGCCATTTATTTGGTCAGAAACATGGGGTGGCTTTGCTTCATTATATTTCCAAATGAGCAATGCAAGAAAATATGAAGCTCTAAAATACTTCCAGAACAGATGTTGGTTCTACGGAAAACATGGACTTTAAATAAATATAGCATATCAAAAAAGGTCCTTGATTTATGACTGTTTTTAACGATGGTTTGAATTTATGGTAGCCTCGGAAAAAGTGACTTATGAGCCATTCTTCAGGTGTGAGCGTTGCACCGCTCCCTATTCACATGTCGCAAATCAGATGCTTGAGACCAAATTGCATTTATGATGGCTGGGGTGTCTTGCAGTTGTTAATCATAATTTGCAGTCTCCCAGCTGCCTTTTGACAAAAGCAGTTGGGGATGTCGGATTCACTTAATAACCATGGTAAAAAGTGACTGTAAAATTGGGTCCCAGCACATGATGACTTGCATAACAGCCACATCATTAACGACTGAGATATCAGTTCCAGTTGTGGTTATAAGTTGAGGACTACCTGTACGTCCTTCTGAATGGATGTACATTGAGAAAAGGTTAGAACGAAGGTCATGCCCTCTTCCTCCATGAACCCTGGACTGGCCTTGATCTGAGGAGGTGTTGGGAGTATCACTTCTATTCTGATTTTAATGTTGAATTTTATTGATGATACTGTACACCGCCCAGGGCCCCTCTCCAAGGAAGGTGGGCGGTTAAGAAATATTAGGTTGCAATCAGATTAGGTTGCTCATCCAACTGTGCCAAATAATAAGATACAATTTTCTTCTAGTGGTAGGTGAAAAGAAGAAACAGGGGAGACATGATAGCAGTGTTCCAGTATCTGAGGGGCTGCCACAAGGCAGAGGGGGCCAGGTTGTTACCAAAGCACCAGAGGGAAGGACGAGAAACAATGGTTGGAAACTGATCAAAGAGAGAAGCAACCTGGAATTAAGGAGAAACTTCCTGACAGTGAGGACAATCAACCAGTGGAACAGCTTGCCTCCAGAAATCGTGGGCGCTCCATTACTGGAGATATTTAAGAAGAGACTGGATAGTCGCTTGTCTGAACTGGTATAGGTTCTCCTGCTTGAGCAGGGGGCTGGACTAGAAGACCTCCAAGGTCCCTTCCAGATTTCTATTCTATTCTATTCTATTCTATTCTATTCTATTCTATTCTATTCTATTCTATTCTATTCTTTGCTATCTTTTAAAATATATCTGTCCCAGAGTTAAATTTTTATTATAGAGACTCCTTGTTGGGTTAGTACTTTATCTCATTTGATTTTACATCTGTGCTGTGTATTTTAAAATTTCGCTAGAACATAATCATAGGCACTCTACTATTTCTTACAGCAATGGCGTTTGGTTCCCAGCCAGACTGCTTGGGGTTTATGTTGTACAGTCAAAAATCTATGTAAAGGAAGGTAAAGGTAGCTAGTTGGAAGCAGCCTGGGGGAGCTTGATGCAGCTTCAAAGCCAATAAACCTGGGCATGTGTAAATAAAAACAGAGGTTTAAGAAAACAACACACCAGGAGCATGTTGTCTGTTCCTATGTGGTGGGTTACTATATAGAGAGAGTGTTGACAGAATAGGCGAGTTATATTTCAAAAAATGAAAGTCTGCCACTATATGAGTAGATCAGCATGAGGACTGCAACATTCCAAATGATCAATAAACAATAGCAAAAAAATTGAATTTGGACTCTCCTTGCTAAAATCTGATGGTTCCCCAAATATGATAGTGATTATTTCAGAATTGTGCCACTTCAAGTCTGCATCAGTGTATCAATCTCAGCGAATTGAAGAGGGGTAGACTTCAACGTCTCCAGCCAGCATACTGGGGGATTGAAGTCGACTGTCTGAAAAGCCAGAGAATTCTGGAGACTAAAGTCCACAAATATTAAAGCAGCCTGGCTAGGGAAGTCTGGGATTTGAAGTCCATGCCTGTTATACAAGGATGGGCAATTAATTTTCTCCAGAGGTCCCATCAAAAATTGGGACTCTTGTGGAGGGCTGAACCAGTAATGCTGTGAAGGTACGTAGGCATGAACATTTTTTTTAAAAAAAGTTGCTTTCAAAATATAAGCAATCCTTGCATGACGGACAGGGACAACCAAAACATCAGATGTGGGTCAGGGGCTGCCAAATGCCTGGGTCTGCTCTTAGAATAGCATGCTGGCTGGGGAATTCTGGGAGTCGAAGTCCACACCTCTTAAATAAATTTGCCAAGGTTGAGAAACACTAATCTGCAGCATTGCATTGCTGTTTGTATGGCATTAAGCTGCCCCTTCGTGGCTGACTGTCTTGCAGTTCAGATTTGGTTCTTAGCGTCTCCGTGTTCATATCACCTGTTTTGTGGATTGGCTTTGTTGTTGTTGTTAATTGCGAAGTCGTGTCTGACCATCGCGACCCCATGGACAACATTCCTGCAGGTCTTCCTGTCCTCTACCATCTTCTGGAGTCCATTTAAGTTCACATCTACTGCTTCAGTGACTCTATCCAGCTACCTCATTCTCTGTCGTCCCCTTCTTCTATTGCCCTCCATCTTTCCCAGCATTAGGCCCTTCTCCAGTGAGTCCTTCCTTCTCATTAGGTGGCCAAAGTATTTGAGTTTCAACTTCAGGATCTGGCCTTTTAAAGAGCAGTCGGGGTTGACCAGTTTGAACGCCTTGCAGTCCAAGGGACTCGCAGGAGACTTCTCCAGCACCATAGTTCAAAGGCCTCAATTCTTTGGCGCTCAGCCTTTCTTATGGTCCAACTTTCACAGCCATACATTGCAACTTCACTATAAAACTGGAAGAGATGCTTTCCCCGCTCCATTTAGCTTGGCTTCTGTATTTCTCCTTTCCGTTTTGCATTGGCCACAGATTTTTTCCCAGGCTGTGCTACAGCGAAAGCTCCCGTCTATTCTTAATCCATTGCTGGCAGCAGGCAAGCTGCTTTTAATATTTAGCGGATTGGATGTTACCATTCTCTACTGTAATCGGTGGATCATTCAGACGCATTGCATGAGAGGCTGACTGCCAATTATGGGCAGTCGGGGTGGGGAACCCCTCTTTTGGATTGTGTAATGTGGTTTTAAAATACAATGTCATTGTGAGGGGTTTGCAAAGCCATGCTTCCCAACCATTGCCCCTGCTTTCTTTGCATGTGCTAAATGTAAGTTTTAAAATGGACATATATTATGTCTCTATCGTGACCTGGATTGTCCCCGTTACGTAGACCAAGGCTTTCGATCTTACCAATTTTAAGAGGGGTGGACCATGCTGGGTGAGGAATTCTGGGAGTTGAAGTCCACACACTGAGGTGTTTTTCCATCTTACCAATTTTAAGAGGGGTGGACCATGCTGGTTGAGGAATTATGGGAGTTGAAATCCACACACTGAGGTGTTTTTTGACCTTACCAATTTTAAGAGGGGTGGACCATGCTGGCTGGGGAATTCTGGGCGTTGAAGTCCACACATCTTAAAGTAGTCAAGGCTGAGAAACGCTGCTGTCCTTCATAATAGAAGGAAGCAGCATCTCAAATCACATTTTCTTTCTAGCCAAGCAAATAACCATTCGGGAATAAGCAATGAACAGAGGCTGTGAAATCTCAGAACTGTCCACAATCACTCCTTCCTTTCTTAGCTGGATGATTGGAGGACATTTAAAGGTCATCAGAGGTTTTCCCACAGGAAAAGAAGCAATGGATATGTGGAGACAGGATTTTGTACAAACTATCTTGCAGAGATTTGGATTTTTTTTAAAGAGCTGAGCCCTGGATTTCCTCAACACAAAAGCAGATCTCAAAGTGCAGAGATCAGTTCTTTTTTTTTTTTATTGCTCCAGTTGGTGTAAGACTGGCATTTCAGTCAAAGATTGACATATGTAGAAGAACAGAAGCTAGATAAAAGGCTGGATATGTTACTGACACATTTTCTTTTTTTACTCTTTGCAATTGTTTTTCGTGTCTAATGCTACTGAATCTTGATTGCTTTAATGCATGGCAGTATTCAGTTGCTCGAAGTTTTGATGCAGGACATCCAAAGTTGTTTAGATCGGGCTGTTCTATAGGTTCTGTCAAAGAAATACATGAATGAAATCAAGGGGGAGAAGAACCAGAAATAATTGGCTGAAAAATCAGTGAAAATAGGTTGTTTTGGAACCCATTTCATGCGATGTCCCGATTTTTCAAAGCCAACTTTCAAATTTGTGAACTTTGTCAACGTAAAGTATGATTTATTTATTTATGTATATCCCACCTTTATTATGTTAACTCAAGGCAGCAAGCATATCCAACACACCTTCCTCTTCCTATTTTTCCCACAACAATCCTGTGAGGTGAGTTGGGCTGAAAGAGATTGACTCAA